ATTCCCTACGAATACTCTCACTTCGACTTCTGTCAGACGCCGGACACGAGTGACTCTCCGGTCGAGAACTTGGGTCAAGTGGTGTTCGGGGAGCGGATCCGGTCGTCGCCGTACAACATCTCCTTCTTGAGACAACAGGAGTGCAAACCGCTGTGCCATAAGTCATACGACTTGAGCTCCAAGACGGACGTGGATCTACTGAACGGACTCATGAAAGGCATGCTTAAGAACTATCAGCACCACTGGATTGTGGACAATATGCCGGTCACGTGGTGTTACCCCGTGGAGGGCGACCAACAGTACTGTTCGGTGGGCTTTCCGGTGGGCTGTTATGTGGACAGTCAGGGGACGGCCAAAGACGCGTGTGTTATGAATGTGTTGTACAACAAAGCGGACACTTTCTACCTCTTCAATCACGTGGACATTACCATCACTTACCACAGCGGGGAGAACGAGGCCTGGGGTGTGGGCTTCGGCGAGAAGGGCGGACGCATTATAGCCATCAAAGTCGTGCCCAGAAGTATCAAACACACGAAGACACCGTCACTACAGGCCAGCGATTGTGGCACTAATTCACCGCCGATGGAGATATCGGGAAAACTGAGCAAAAGCGATAAAATCGATATCTATTACTCGTATTCCGTGTACTTCTCGCGCGACAACACAATCAAGTGGTCGTCGCGTTGGGACTACATCTTGGAGTCGATGCCGCACACGAACATCCAGTGGTTCTCGATTCTCAACTCATTGGTGATCGTACTGTTCCTCACGGGAATGGTAGCCATGATTTTGTTGCGCACTCTTCACAAAGACATCGCTCGCTATAACCAAATGGACAGCGAAGACGACGCTCAGGAGGAGTTTGGCTGGAAGTTAGTCCACGGAGACGTCTTCAGACCCCCGCACAGGTCAATGATGCTGTCGGTGTTCATCGGCAGCGGAGTGCAGGTGCTGTGCATGACTGTCATCACACTGTTCTTCGCGTGTCTGGGATTCCTATCGCCTGCCAATCGCGGGGCACTCATGACCTGCGCTCTCGTCCTGTTTGTCTGTTTGGGAACTCCTGCCGGATATGTGTCGGCGCGGATCTACAAAGCGTTTGGCGGCTATAAGTGGAAACTCAATGTATTGCTGACCGCACTCTTGTGTCCCGGAGTGGTCTTCTCGCTGTTCTTCGTCATGAATCTGCTGTTGTGGGCGAAGGGCAGTTCAGCCGCCATCCCGTTCACCACTTTCATCGCATTGCTGGCCCTCTGGTTCTGTGTATCACTTCCGCTCACTTTCGTCGGCGCGTACTTCGGCTTCAAGAAGCGAACCATCGAACATCCCGTGCGAACCAATCAGATCCCGCGCCAAATCCCCGAGCAGTCGGTCTACACTCAGCCCATGCCTGGGATCATAATGGGAGGCATTTTGCCGTTTGGATGCATCTTCATTCAGCTGTTCTTCATACTGAACAGCATTTGGTCCAATCAGATGTACTATATGTTCGGATTCCTGTTCCTGGTCTTCACCATTCTGGTGATCACCTGCAGTGAGACCACTGTTTTGCTCTGTTATTTCCATCTATGCGCTGAGGATTATCACTGGTGGTCAGTATCTCTTTATATCACTTGTGTTGCCATTTATACGATGATCACTAATGAATGGTTTGTTGGTGTCTTAGGTGGCGATCATATCTGACGAGTGGTTTCACATCATTCTATTTATTCGTGTATTGCATTCATTACTTTATGACCAAACTGACCATCACTGGCACCATATCGACACTCTTGTACTTTGGATACACACTAATAATGGTATTCCTCTTCTTTCTACTCACCGGAACCGTTGGCTTCTTCGCCTGCTTCTGGTTCGTCAGAAAGATCTACAGTGTTGTCAAAGTTGATTGAAAAGTGATTAAGTGATCAAAACCGTGATTGTTACAGAAGTATAGCTTAGGTATAGACACTATATTTTTCATTGAATCCATTCATATGATTATAAGTTTGTTTTATTTCGCATTCAATTTATGATTTTTAGTTAAGTTAAGCAATGCATCGGTTCTGTAAAATAAATCTCAACACAAACGTTGACTTTATTTCCAATCCTTAATACAAAAGTAATACGTTATGTTGTTTATATAAAAATATTGTTTTTATATATTAATTAACAGTTTTAATACCTAAATTACAATCTTATGATTTGTGCAATTATTTCGATACAAATGCACACGAATTGTAAGAGTATTTGTGTAAATCATAATAAATTAAGTGTCATTTGTGTTAATAATATATTGATAACTTAAATTTAGCTATAATTCTATAATTTCTGGTCAATTGAAATGAAATTTCATTATTTATATAATTAATTCTCTTTGCCTTAGCCCTCAATTATATTCACTTATAATTTAATTAATTTTTAAGTTAAATAAATAATATTTAAAATTCTTGCCAATTTATTTTCAATAATTATACCGGTTCCAATAATCAGGATAATTGATATTTTGTAAAACATTGAATCACCAAATGATGAATATTCTTGTAAATGTCAAGAATATAAATGATCCGGAATATGTACAATTCTATAGAAATGTAAGTTCTAATGCAAGCTTTTTGTATGAAACAGTGTTACCGGTAAGATTATCAATTGTGACTCCTATATGACATTCAACTTAATGATTAAAGCGTTCACAATATTAGACTCAACATTGAGAGCAATTAGAGCAAGAGGTGTCCGGGAGGCTGAGGTATAGGTTATGCAATAGAGTAGAGGTAATGCATTGTAATGAGTGGTGGATGCAATAGATATGATATAATAGCTGTAATGTAGTGGAGGTGTATTGGATAGTGTTGTTGGCGTGTGTTTGGTGTTTGCATTAATTAGTGTCACATAAGCACTGCCTCCCAATTGGAGTGATGTGTGGATAGAGTGTATTGTAGCACAAGATGGCCATCACTTGCAGTCATTCACTCATACGGTCTCCCAATACATAGAGACCAATAGAGGCACTCATACTGTGATACAGTGAATGAGACTCAACGCCAAACACATCACAGCTTTGTCTCAATCAATGCATTCACTCATCAGTTAATTGTTTGCATTCGTTGTCAACACTAATCATATCTATTACCCTATATTATCGTCAAATCATTGCATTTGTCCACTCATTCACACCCTTTCAATGCCATACAAGCCATTCACTGCTATAATCAAGTGATTTAATCTAATTAATTGTCATTTCAAGCGATTAACGAGTTTTAATGGCATGAATGTCTCAATGCATTGATATATGACACGCAAGTCATAGTGACCACAATCAGCCCCATATTCATCAGCCAGTGATCTGTTGCCTGTGAGTGAAGACATAACCCATTGATTGAGAAGATGTTTCCGGAAGAGACACCTAAAGACCTGTCGGTCAAAACGTAAGTGACATTTGCTGTGAAAACTGGATCCCATGTCTAATGGGTTCATAATTGTCTGAATGGTGTGAATGTATGTCAACTCAATTATCACACAATTGTTGTATTATTTGCTTCACTTGTATTATATTTTGCATTCATTTCTCAATTCATTTGTTTTGATTTAACTTTTAATAGAAATAGTGACGAAACCGAAGATATGGCGGTCGATAAGGACAGCGAGAATAATGTCGAAACCGATGATAATAATGTCGAAACCAATGATAATAAAGTGGCAGAAGATACCATGGATTTGAGTGTTAAGAAATCAGTTGATCCAAAGCCAGAGCCAGCAGAGACGACCACCACTGAAGAGCCAATGGAAGTAACGCTCGACCTCTCAATGCCTTCCTCTTCAGTGGACTCGAGTGAGAGACCCAACGGTCAGCAGTTGGCCAGCGATTGGAGTCAAAACACTTCTCCCGACAGCCGTAAGCCCGACACCGAAGAGAACTCTTCGCAGTTAACAAATGGCAATCATATCAATGGATTTATAGCTTCCGATGACTCGGCGTCTGTCATCGCCGACGAAGAGGTAGCACTTCCGCCGTCACCCAAACTGAATGAATTGAGTGGCGAAGAGTTGAGGGCCCGTCAGAGGAAAATGCGTCGATTGAAGCAGGAGTTGAGGAACGAAGAGATGAAATTAGTTTTGCTTAAGAAGTTAAGACAGAGTCAGATCATGAAAGAGAATATAGTGACTAATTTGACACAACCTGTTAATCCATCGGTTCCCGTCAACCACTCAAACCACACAAACCACTCCAACCACACAATGGCTAAGATTATGACAAACAATGTTTCTTCGCGTAACGGTTCCATTGGAGCGCCTCTAACGGCACCCAATCCCACATTAAGCCACCAAAACCATCACAGAGAGAGGGACAGAGACCGAGACCGAGACAGAGACAGAGAGAGGGAAAGGGAGAGAGCCCATAGCAAAGGCCACTCTGTTTTGAACCCTCCCTACGGCCGCAATCAGGGTCTATCTCACGGCCCACTCTGTCCGCCACCCCTTGGCTTGGGTCAGAGGAACAGCTCTTCTAATCACAATCACATGCCGAGTGCCGCGCACTCACAGTCTCTAAGACCCGGTCCATTGAGTTCTTTGAATCGGACTCCAGTTACGACTCCACCGAATGTAGTGCTCGGATATCCCGTACAAGACCTCAGAAACCAACAAAACTCAAACTCACTCTTGAGTTCTCATCAATCGGTAAGACTTTTTAACTCATGATATGTTGGGTTTTGACTTATTTTGTGAATCCATTGAACAACAGATGGGTTTAGCGACGGGATCTCCCGGTCCTATCAGAGAGGAAGTGACACAAACGCCGGCTCAAAGACAAGCGGCCGCGAAGTTGGCTCTGAGGAAGCAATTGGAGAAGACTTTACTTCAGATCCCTCCGCCTAAGCCTCCGCCACCGGAAATGCATTTCATACCAAATGCTAATAATCAAGAATTTGTTTATTACTTGGGATTAGAAACTGTTGTGGACTTCTTGACCGACAGTCCCAACCAAAACAGACCGCCTCCCGACCCGTTTGAATGCGTTCAATGCGGCACTGATTTCACACCCGTATGGAAATGGCAGGACAGGATCGACACCAACAGAGACAGACCGGCCGTTATTTGCGAGACTTGTGTCACGTCTAACATCAAGAAAGCTCTGAAGGCTGAGCACACGAATCGACTGAAAACTGCTTTCGTGAAGGCTTTACAACAGGAACAGGAGATCGAGCAGAGGATAGCGTCGGGCGCTACTAGTCCTCCATTGCCAGCCATGTCTCCACCGCAACAGAACAGCTACAATGGAATGAGTCATTCGAGTCACTCGGTGTCCAATTCATCACCACTGGTGACATCGAGTCAATCCCTTCATCCGCAGGCACCGCCCGCCCACTCATCCATTCCGCGACTGACGGGCTCTGCGGCTAACGCGGCGGCGGCCGCAGCGGCGGTGGCCAGTAGTGCAGCACTTCTGCAACAAATGCCCAAACTCTCGGCCGCACACCAGTCCCTGTTCGCAGCACAGGCCCAACAGTTGCACCAATTGGCACAGAGTCTGCCTCAACCACAACCGGCGCATATGTTGCCCTTTGCACCACTGCTGGCACAGGCCTACAATTACAGTATGTTAGGCAAGTCGGGAGTGCCGTCCACTGAGCTCCACCGCCAGTACTTATTAGACATGATAAACCCGCCCCGTTCTCTGCCCCAGAACTCTATGAACTGGAAAACTTGATTCTAATTATTTGAATTAAATATAAGTTTTCATTTCTATAGCTCTCATACCAATAGGTTTTAGATTTTTTCAGTTGCTTTTCGGTGTTTTGTTTAAATTCGGTCTAATTTTGCGGATTATATTAATTTCATTTGTTCATACTTTTCGACGTGTACTGAAATCACTTTGAAATTTTCAAATAATGATAAATATATTGGAAATTATATCAAACTTGTAATATTTGAAGCACTGAACCGACGATTCAGTTTTTCGTATATTTATTATAATAGTCTAAATAAATTGCATCCAAAATGAGTCTTATGTAGTGTTGGTTTGGGAGGAACGGCTGATTCTATTGATATTAGAAATAAGAGAAATGAAATCAAAATATTGTAGAATAAAGAGTAATTCTAATGTAAAAAATATTAGTATTAATATTAGTAATCATTTTTATTAATACAATCAGACTATCGGTAAACCATTTATTTAACGGATTTATTTGCTTTAAAACAAATTGAATTAAATCCAAACAAACTCTAGAGAAACGAGTCTTTGGCTGAATTAAGTGAACAAATCATTTGACGATATAGTGGCGAATTAATTGCTTTTCAAAAAACTTTAAATTATAATTATTTCGTTTAAATGACTGTATTATTAATGATTGGTATTTATATTCGCTGTTTATATGAAGACAAACAGAAATAAAACACTTTTTCACATTAAATTGTTTTTTATTATTTAATATTTTATAAAAACATGTTATTTGACAACAAATGGTTTAATCTTAAGAACTTCGACAACATTGGTCTCGATGTCGAACCAACTGGTGATGTGAAGCGAGTCTATAGTGAAGTAATACAATCGGTCGACACATTTGTTGCGTCTGTAGACCGAACGCGGATCCGCTTTCAACAGATTCCTAATGGCATTCTTGGAGTCATCGAAACCCTCCAAATGTTTGAGACAGTAGTGGCAGAGGTTTTGTTCATCTCTTTTGTGAAAACTTCGCAATTGTTGTACACTTTTGGCCGAGAATTCGACGCTTACTTCGCAGACAATACTTCCGTCGATCCAATCATTCACTGAATTAATCATCTCTTGGTCTTCAGATTCAGTTGAATCGCACGTTTCGCTGGTTTGTTGGCCATCAGTGGACACATCCGGGGAATCGTATTGTTTGATATACGGCTTAATGTCTATAATCGGCGTTCCGTCCAATA